TATTCAGTTCTGCAGAGCCGGTTGCTAGTGTAGAAGAAGGGCAAAAAGGGTTGGAATATTGATTTATGTGGGATGCTGGCTTCTAAAGGCCCTGATGGGGAGAAACTCCTGCTTCAGACAGACACAGACTTCACAGTCTCCCCCCTTGACAAGCACAGTAACCACCTCAAGGTTCCTTATCTGATGAATATCCCCAGGCTGTGACACTTCCTTCTGATTAGGGGGATCAGTCATGTAGCAGCTGCCGCCCCCGAGAGTCCTGAGACAAGTGGGTGCTGGTTGCCAGGTAAGGTAGAGAGAGGTCTAGAACCTCTTGTTTATCTGTGAGTCTTAATGAGTTCTAAGCATACTCTATATTGAAAATGAATCATAATGATTTATTTCTTAGGATGTTAACATACCTTTTCTCACAGCTCCATCTAAATCAAGTTCTTCTCATTATTCTTTCATCTCTTTGTACAGAAAAAAAAACACTACTCAACATTATATATGTATTCCTTCAGGAGGTTAAGAGGCAGTAGAGTATGCAGAGTTCCTATTGGGTTACAGGATCAAATCCAGAGTCTGCTATGTCACATGACGCCATCCTCATTATGAAAACACAAGTTTCTCCATCTCTGTAACATGAGGGGGCCTGCTTGTTGGTGTATCTGTCCTGCCCGGCACCCCACAACCGGCATACCCCAAAGAAAATCATACAGAGAACTCCATAAGATTATAAAACTGATTGGCCCATTAGCTCAGGCTTCTTGTTAACTCTTATAGCTTATATTAACCCATTATTCTGATCTATGTTAACCATATGGCATGGTACTTTTTCAGCTGTCAGCTCACATGTTGCTTCTTCGGTGATCTGGGCAGGAATGGTGGAGGGGGCTTCCTGCTTCCCAGAATTGTCCTGTTATCATTGCATCACCTCTACTTCCTGTCTGGTTTTCCTGCCTAGACTTCCTGCCTGGTCAATCAGCATTTATTTACAATAAAATTGACAGAATACAGACAATTCTCCTGCACCACATCTCTAAAATGGTTGTGATGGAAATGGATACTAAGTATTTCAGGGACTGGGGAGATGGCTCAATTGGTAAACTGTATGCTGTGTGAGCAAGAAAACCAGAGTTCAATCACTAGAACCCATTTTTTTTTTAATCCAGATGTGGTAGTGTATGCTTATAATGCCAGAGTTAAGGAGGCAAAGACCAGTGAATCTCTGGGGTTTGGTGGTCAACCAGCCTAACTTAATGAATACACCCCAGGGAAGCAGGAGACCCCGTCTCAAATAAACAAACAAAACAAAAGTGGATAGTGCATAAAAAACAATATCCATGGTTGATCTCTGGATGGTGCATAAGGAACAATACCCATGGCTGACCTCTGGCTTCCATTCACACTGATACGCATAACCAGGGACACACACCCTTCTACCATGCATGCTGTATACACAAAACAATATAGTTTCCACTTCAAAAGCACTAGAATAAGAATGAAACATGAAAACCATGTACGTGCAAAGCCTAGATTAGTCCTTGGGACCATGTGACTATTCAGCAATCTTCTATTGTTTATTGGCTGTTAGTCTGCACAAATGTGCAGTGTGGACAGGGACTTTGCCTTGTCCTGATATGATGACAGTGTCGAAATCAGGGCTTCTGAAGCACACGCCAAAGCGAGAATAAATATTTATTACCTTCCAGTGGGAATGACAAAGGCCTGTGGGGCTTTTGTCCAAGTCCACAGAGCAGAGATCGCTCTATTACTTGAAACCTAAATTTCCCCTGGTCTCAGAGTCCTTAATTTTGTGTGTACTGAGGAAGTGCTGCCAAGTGACATGACTTTAATCGGCATGGGTTAATATGCAAAGTTCAGAGAGCCAGTTAGCAAGAGCCGGAGAGATACAGGTACAAGCAGACTTAATGACTTAACATTGGCGCTGTGAGAGAATTTCCATTTCAACAAACTTAATGAAACTAAACCAATTTCCTCGGAAATTGGTGACCTTGATTTCTGTGCCTGATTTTTGGGATTGGCGGTGTGGCTGTACGCAATCGGATGTTCTAGCAAACAGTCCACGGTGCTTTGGCACCTTCTGCTGATGAGCTAGAGAACTTTTCTGGCTCAGGGAGACTCCAAGTCCGATGTCTGGTGGCCTCGGCACTTGCTTCCATAGGTCAGTTAGCGAAAGAGCAGTTGTTACCAAGAATCCACTGGAGGAGCCAGCACGGCAGTAATTAGAAATGTTATCCTAAATATCAGCTTCTGTAAATTGTGTAGGCCTTAAGTCATGTATGTCAACAGTGGCAGCACTGGTCACTGAGGAAGCCAACAGGACAGTTTAACCCCCCACAAGATCTGCTCCTCTAGCTGCAAAAACGTGGATTCGTCCAGTTATACTAATGGAAAAGTATATTCATGGAAAAGAAGCCTGGTAAAGAATGCTACTCACCAGGCAATGCGGGCACATGCCTTTAATCCCAGCACTTGGGACACAGAGGCAGGTCTCTGCTAGTTTGAGGCCATCTTGGTCTACAAAGCAAGTTCCAGGAATAGCCAAAGCTGTTACACAGAGAAACTCTGTCTTGACAAACAAAAACAAACAAACGAACAAAAACAATGACCAAAACCAAAACAACAAGAAAAGAATGAGTTACTCTCATGGTTGTATGGTCCTCTGTCTAGAACCCCTTATTTCTTTCAGGTCCTCATGGGCTAGAGAGGACTACATGACTCTGTACCTTCCCACCCAAACCTGCCAGTTCATCTGGGGCCAGGTCTAGCTTTATATCAATACCATCTCCTGGTCATCACCATCCTGGGAGCCACACAGGACATGATGGATGAGAGTATGAGGTCTCTGGATGGAAATCCTAGCCTTGGGATTTACTACAGGCAAGTATGGACTGTGCTATAGGCAATGCTCTTGACCTCATTTCTTCAGCTGTAAAATGAAATCCTTCTTCATAAGTTTACCATGAAAATTTAAAGAGATCGTAAACAAAATGTTCAGCCAGACATACAGTGGGTGCCACTATTGTTAGCGGCACTGGTGAAATTTACTTCTGTCCACTCAGTTAGTCACTGAGGGATGCTCCTACCTTTCTGTCTCTCCCTCCTTTTCCTTCTGCTGTCTTCTAGCTCATGTCCATTACATTTTGATTTCATACTGAGATAAACTAAGCCACTGTCATTTCATCTACTTTTTAAAGAGTTGCCATCTAATTCCTGAAAGAGGAGTCTGTGCACATCTACAGTCGAAGACCTTTGGTGGCTCTCCCTTGTCTAAACAGCACTGCACTAAGCAAGGCCTTCAAGAGTCTGGAAACTCTGATACCTTTCTTGTTTGTTTTTGTTTTGTTTTTGCTGCTGTTGTTGTTGTTTTGCTTCAACTCCCAACACGCTCCGTCTTTCTGCCATTGTCAGTTCTTTCCCTTCCTCCACAACCCTGTCAGCCTTCTGACTTGTCTTGTCTGAGGTGGACTGCTTTAGCTATTCAGGCTCTATACAATGCTATCTATCTTTCTCACGAACTCACCCCTGTTCCCTCACTGGAAATAGTCAGTCCCACCCCAGAGCTTTGCTTCTATGTGGATGGGGCTAGCGGTGTTGTCGTTCACATTTGCCATCTCTGCCCACACTCAATTAAGTCTAGGCATCCAGGCAAGCCTTGATGAATGGAATGAAACAGAGCTGCCTTTTAATAGTTGCCTGACATCGCCCCAGTGTGTCTCCAGCTCAGGGAGCTTCTTTGAAGATTGACACTTTACAAATCAGCATCCTGGCCCAGCTGAAAGAGCACTAAAGAGCCAGCTCAACCGAAAACACACAAGAATCCCAACAGCAACATCTCTCTGTGGAAAGAAGGAAATAAAGTTCAATGAATGCAGGCTCAATACTGGTGTTCAAAAACCTTCCTTCTTTGTCTGATGTGGACAGAAATGTTGTCAACTGTCATCTACTTGGGAATGACCCTCCCTAGTTGAATTTTTACTGAGGGGGCAGATTTCAAAGCTGGGGCTGACTGTGTGGCCACGGAAAGTCCCAGACAGAAGAATGTAGGTAGTTCTGAAAGCACTGTATCGTGGACTCCATCAGCTGCCCACCAGCAGTGACCTCAGGGGTGGGACAGAGACAGAATATAAGCCAGGAATGATGCCCCCAAAATGGCTGTCCATCTCCCTCAAAATTCTGTAGCGATTCTTTGAATCAAGAAGCGAGTCTTTTAATCAGCCTTAGTAGTTCAACATCTCTGGTAATTTGCCACTCATCTGCCACAAAGAAACTCAATGGCAGTCAGCCACGGAGGGACCCTTGACATTTGCAGTTTACCGTCCTTTGTTATTCCAGAGGAGTTGTCATAATACCCATGTATCCTGCATTCCAGGCCAAGACAAGTACGAGGGGACAGCACCGCTGGCTGTGAGCTCCAGCAGCCAGGAAAAGGCCTGGCCACCATCCACACCACCACTTACACTACTGGCTGTTCCTTGTGTCTTCCTAGATGATAAAGGGGAGGGGCTGTGACCTCTGCTTTGTATACCCAGCTTCCAGACCAAAGGTCAGCTGCCAGTAGAGTTAAGTGATTGTTAAATAAGTGAACAAATCAATGCACCTTCCAGAGAAGTGCTCAGAGAGGGACCAGCCAGGCAGTTTAGCATGAGAGAAGTATGTTTTTCCTTTCCCAGCGTTTGTTATACTATGTGCGTTAGTGTGACTATTATGTCATTTTTAGCTCTGAAATTTAGGAAATGGAGTAAAGGATTTTTCTGTGTCTGGGACTATATAGGAGGAACAAACACATAGCAAGAAGATCTGCTGAAGTCAGATACTTAATCTCAGCTCGTCAGAGGCATCCCAATTCCTACTGGGAAATAAGTATCTCAGGGATAGCTTGGGAGACTTACTCTTCAGTGTTTCTACACCCTGGAGCTGAGTTACAGAGTAACCCGAAAACAATGCTCCAGAATTCACCCCACTAATAAACCAGAGCAAAGTTCACAACAAGTTCCATGGACAGAAGTGTGGAGCAAAGGCCAGAGCTCCAGGGAAGGGCTACCACAGAGCAGGGACAGTCACCTGTCTTGAGGGAGGATTCCTGAGCCAGCCCCAGCTGTAGCAGGCCATGAGCTCTGTGCTATCAATCGTCTTGCAGGAACTCCCAGGCCCGTTCCTAGTCCTGGGGATCTTCTTGCCTGTGACTTTGCTGCTTTTCCTCCTGATTGCCTACTTCAGGATCAAATTGATGGAGGGTAAGTGTGAAGCCCCACAAAGAAAGGCTCATCCTTAAAACATACCAAAGCTCTGAGAAGCTGGTGAAACTTATCTTTTTGATTGACAGATTTTTTTCCCCAGCCCTCCCTTAAGATCCTATCCCTGATGAACCAAGGTTTGATATTTTCAATTCTGTGGGTGGTGAGGTAGGTAAGGTTTGACCACTTGCTATAGGGACTTCTTCTCTGTAGTTCCTGGAAGACAGACAACTGTGAACCAGCAAATTGGACACAGGGTTGCTTGTTTATCTCTTAAGGCAACAGATTCATAAGGCAGCTGTTCATGGTCTGTGTCTTCTATGTGACAGATGTATATGTGTGTATCATACATAGTGCTTGTAAGGACTACTGTCATTCACATATACTCTGGGTTCTCACGGACACTGAGTGTCCCTGAGAGAAGTTAAAGGCTTCAAATGTCAGAGCTGGGAACCTGAGTCCATTGTATCATTCTCAAGTCTCACCTCTGTTGCTTCTTTGACAAAGTAAACTTTCACAATCTCAGAAATGTATCAACCATGAAATGAGGCACAGAGCAGGTCAACACGGTCTCACAGTACGCACACACTCATGTGTGTACATATATTCACATAAGTAAATATATACACAAGATATATATGTACACACACACAGACACACAGACACACACACACACACACTACACATACATGACCGTGTGCATATGCACATAACATCCTCAGCCACCGAACTTCTTCTTAAGAAACGTTCCAAGCATTTTTTTTTGAAGTTTAAGGTGGTGACTTTTAGCTGCTTCTTTTTATTTTATTTTTGAAAGTAATTTTATTAAATTATAAAAGTTTCCATTTCCGCCCCTCTTCCCAACACCCTCCCACTCCCCCCACTCCCTCTCCTCCTCTCTCTCCATCCCTAAGAGCAGTCAGGATTTCCTGCCCTGTGGGAAGTTCAAGTTCCTCCCCCCTCCCTCCAGGTCCAGGAAGTTGAGCATCCAAACAGACTGGATCCCCAAAATCCAGTATATGTAGAGGAAACAAGTCCCAGTGTCATTGTCAATGGCTTTTCAGAAAGACCCCGTGCCAGCCACATTCAGAGAATCCGGCCACATTCAGAGAATCCGGCTACATTCAGAGAATCTGGTTGGATCACGTGCTCGTTCAGTCCCAGTCCAACTACCTAAGTAATCTGTCTGGAGTTAATTCACATTAAAACCATATGACAATATTTGTAGCTCAGCAGCACCAGAAGTGTTGCTGAAGCATGCAATGAAGGGAACAGAATAACTAGTATTCCTACGTCCTTCTTTCTCCGTTCACCCCTCCAAATGACAGGATATACTAGGGAGCTTGCCCTAACTCCTAGGTTTTTCTCATGCCATGGGTCGGCTCCTTCCCTCTCCAAACATTTTGCACTTTGTAGTATAAGATTGAATGCAGGGGGCAGTAACACTGGGAGCCTCACACGATGGGGGGGGGCAGTCTGTGGGTGATATCCTTTAAACTCCTTAAAGCGTGCTCCAAAATACATTCTACCTCTAGATGGCCACCAACTGTCAGTCATTCAACAAGTATTTGTGAATCAACTTGAGCATTTTCCCATTCTTATGACTGAACACCACAGACTTATTTTTAAACAATGAAACCTATTTCTTATAGTTCAGAAGACTGGGAAATCTAAAGTCAAGTGGCCCAATCCGGAGAGGTTCCACTTGCTAGTAGAGAATCTGTAGTCTAAGGCAGCACACAGTAAGAGGGGTGTAACTAAAAGACAGACACAGGGCTTCTCTGTGTAGGTTTGGCTGTACTGGAACTGGCTCTATATAACAGGCTGGCCTTGAACTCACAGAGATCCATCTGCCTCTGCCTCCTGAGTGCTGGGATTAAAGGTGTGTGCCACCAACCCCTTGACTCATAGTTCTGCTCTTAAAGGCCTCATCTGGGCCTAGGGCTTTAGAAATCACAATGAACATGAAGTTTCAATGTGAGCTTTGGTGGAAAATCAAATTCCAGTTCTACTATATACTATGGCCTGTCCTAGGCACATAGACTTTGGGGACCAAGAGGAAATAGTCTTCCATTTAGAAAGCTACAAAACGCATAAAAAAAAAAAAACCCTTTAATCCAACATCAGATATAAAAATCTGTATTTTTATTTTCTGATCTTGTAGTCAGACCAAGTTAAGAGTAAACTCTGTCCTTGAATCTAGCCAAGGCTGAATCCTGACTTTTCATTTTAAGTCTTTTCCAAATTGTCAGAGCTGAGACCTCTCACCAGACAGGATCTTCTAAACACCTAAGGGATACCCCAGTGATGGAATAAGCCACCTTCCCATTGTCACCCTCTATTGCTGGCTCTCAGTGAAGTAAGTATATCCAGGCCCGAGGCAGGAAAGCCAGGAGTATGGGAAGCACCAGTTACTTCAGTGAAACAATTCCATGCATCAGGCAGTTAAAACAAAAGAGGTCTCATCTGCAGCTTGTTGCCTGAAAACTGTAGCTTTTTCTGTAGTCATTTCCTAAGGGTGTGTAGTATTACTCCATTTCCAGATAGAGGTCAAATGAGATCCCTTGGCCCCAAATTAAAACATCACCAGTTTTATCCATCTAAAAGCAATCATTTAAAAATTATAAACATATGGACAAATGTCATAGTTAATCTTCTATCCAGGGCTACAGCAGTGTCATCATTCCTATTTTGTTTCTGTAAAGAGAAGGACACTGACAGATTAACTGGTGTGTTCACAGAACCCCAGAGTCCTACACTCCAAATCAGAACACCAGTTTGTGTGTTTCATATATCCTAAGGTTAGACAGAGTGTCATTTTGAGATGTGATGGAGATAATGTCACCATTCAACATTAATACCTACTCTTCAAGCCTTGAAGGTAATCATTCAAGGAAATTTAATTAGTATGTAGAGAACATCAATTTTCTCACAAAGGAAGAAAGAAAATTCTCTAACATCCTGCACACTTTCGTTTGTCATTTGCCTTGAGAAACAGTTCTTGGGGAGGAGGGCTGAGTCTTAAAGCTTTCTAGAAATAGCCAGACCCTCTACCATCAGTGCCATGAACAGTTATCATCCCCTAGGGTGCACGTTGTGATCTTCATTTCTCTTCAGTATTCCAAAATCTCTGCATCTAGTGCCACCCGGCTTCCAAGGCATCAAGAACAATCTGTGCTCTAAAACAACCAACAGTACAAAAGCAGTCACTTTATTAAAGTGTACATGCTGAATGCCCAAACACTTAGTTAAATACAGAATAAGTAAAGCTAATTAACATTTGAATCTGGAACACAGCGTCTCTACATAACCTAAAACTTCAAGCCTCCTCACCTGGAGGATAGAAATAACAGTAGCAGGTTTCAGCAATGGGGTCAGTGTGAGAAATGAGCCACTACAGAATGTAGCTGATTTTTTTTTTTTTTTTTACTCTTTGGGGGCTCACCGCCAAGCTCCCAGATAAATACGTGGGGACTTGTTCTTATTTATGAATGCCCGGTCTTAGCCTGGCTTGTTTCTAGTCAGCTTTACTAACTTAAATTATCCCGTTTCTCTTTAATTTGCCTCTGGCTTTTCACCTTAATTTATTCTATGTATCTTTCTTTTCTTCTTATTCCATGGCTTGCTGTGTGACCCCTGATGCCTTCCTCTTCTTTTCTCTCTCCTTCTTCCTGGATTTCTCCTCCTATTTATTCTCCCTGCCTCCCAGCCTCACCTATCCTTTCTTTTGCCTTGCTATTGGCCATTTAGCTCTTTATTAGACCAATCAGGTGTTTTAGTCAGGCAAAGTATCACAGCTTTATAGTTAAACAAATGCAACATAAAAGAAGGCAACACATCTTTGCATCATTAAACAAATATTCCACAGCATAATCAAATGTACACATCTTAAACTAATATTTCACAACAACAGAGGGGTTCCAAACAATCCCCATACTGGAAAATGGTAAACCGTTATTTCTCCCACTGGCTTATAAATCCCAAGAAATCACCATTTGTGTCATTATATGCATCATTAAAATTGCCTTAGAATAACTAAGACACCCTAGGTGACTCACCTGGAAGGCAGCAGACAAGATAGGAAACCTGGCAGTCTGGCTCCAGAGCTAGCTTTCTTAGCCCGCACAACACCAGGCAGGTTTCCTATCAACTAATGATTTTTTGTTTGTTTGGTTTTTGACCCAGGCAAAGAAACTCACCACCAAGTTGAAAGGCAATTGTGGAAAATCTATGAACAAGGGAAGAATGTTTGCAAAAGCTTTGGATGGGTTGGTCTCTTAATATAAAAGAAAAACAAATTTGGGTTGACTTTCTAATATAAAAAACTACAAATTATTCCTAATGATGGTAATTCTTTCACATAAATATCTACCCCAAGCCAGAAAGATTCTTCACCCATGTTCCAACAGAGAAAGATCCTTACTGCTAACAGAATTTTCCATAACCCAGGTACTTCTTAAAGACACCTGCTTAATTTCTCTCTGAACGTCTTCCCTAATAGACTCCTGTGATTAATAGCCTAGTGCAAGCTGTTTTTGGAGAGAGGTAAATGACTTCACTTCTTATTTTCTGGGGGGAATCCATGGCAGTCAGTTTAGTCACTGGCTGGAAGACTCACTAGAGCTCACTAAGCTTTTCATCCTCAACCTAGATCTCTGATTTTCGTTTTTTATTTCTCATCCTTCAATCTCTGATTTGGGCCATGATGTATCCAGGTCTGTGGTGTATACCCTTGTCCATCATTCAAAGCACTTCTTATGCAGTTGGGGAAGAAATTACTCCTATTTCAATGAGTTCATAATCTAAACCAAAGATTATCTCAAAGAAGTATCTTTGAAATAGCAAATCATCTATGTAAAAAAGCAACGGAACTCAGCAGCTGAAAGTACAGACTCTGAAGTCAGGCTGCCTGGTATCAAATTCCGAATTCATCCATTTCTGTAGTCTTGGGGTAAACTGCTTTATCATGGTCTTTCTCTGACCCAGGCTGTTCACTCATACATGAAGAAGCAACTTATGTCACTGCAAGAATTGGACAAGGTAACACATGCAAAGTTGGCACAGTCTATCTGGTACATAGTTGCTGAACAAATACTGCCTGTTCAACCTTGTGACTCACACAGCCCAGGGCATGTCCTCATTTGAGAATATGGAGCAGCCCCTAAGTATCCAAGATAGGTAGGAAATGTTCCCTAGGTGCATGGTAATGGGCTGATGGAATAGATTGAGGTGGATACCAAGAATACTGTCAAGGCCAATTTCATAAGCACGCTGTTACTAAGTGATGTTGGTGGCCATGAGAGTGGGTGAAGTGTTGTTTGTTGTACCAGGAACATATAAGGTTATATATTAAGATTTTTAACAGAGATCTCAAGGTTAAAAGAGAATCTGGTTCCTGACATGCTAGTTGAATACAGGAGCAGGGAGAATGCCGTGTGCAAGGCAAGCAGGTGGGAGTCAACACTGACGAGAGTAGGTAGGTAAGGCTATGTTGATGCTACAGAGAGGAAACAGGTTGGGGAATGCCACTAGGTTCAGTAAACTGGTCTAAGTAGGATGCCACTTAAGACTTTTAATATTTTAGAGGAACAGTTTTTATCTAAATGCTTTTGAGAGATTAATAAATACATAGGGTCTGAAAAGTTGAAAGATGCCAAAAGCCTAATGCCCAAAAGGAAAATCAGTAAGCTGACTTGTCTAAGGATCACACATACCCAAGTATATTTTGGGAAAGCTGGAAGGACAGAAACCTTGATTCTCTAATTCCTATATCCCCAACTCCTGACCTACACGTTTAATGGTTTCCCGAATATGACAATCTAAACATCTGCTAAACAGGATACTTACATGTTAATGATCTTTAATCCAGTGGTCATCTGTCCTAATCAGGGACATTCATTTGAAGTAGTCAAGGAGGGCCGAAGATAGTTCAGTAGGTAAAGGTGCTTGCCGTCAAGCCTGATGACCTGAGATTGATCCTGCTGTCAAGCCTGATGACCTGAGATTGATCCTTAGCACTCGACAATGGAGGGTGAGACTAATCCAAGTTCCCCTCTGATCTCCACATGTGCTGTGCCATATTCATTACTACACACACACACACACACACACACACACACACAGAATACTAATTATTTTTTTAAAGGAAGCTGAAGAGGTCAGGCCCCACCGTAGAGACCCATATAGTCCTCAGGGATACCAGTCAGAAACACTGGCCAATAGCTTCTAGCAAGTGATAAAAGGGTCTAAGGCACTCAGCTGTCTACAAATTAACCAATATCTTTCCTTTCAGTTGATGAAGAACTGTCTCAAATTTCTGATCGCCAAAACAAGTACAGTCCTTCCCTGTACAGGCGGATGAGACGAAGATGACTGCGGGGATCATTCAGTGGACAAAGAAGTATGAATTACACAAGGTCACAGAACAGAGGTCAACAGAACCATGGGGGAAATGAGAATGGTGGATGCATCAGCTCCTACTAGAGGACTTCAGTGTGATCTGATGTGAATGGAAGTTCTTCAGAAAGTACCAAGGACTTAAGATTTTCTTTCACATGCTCAATGCATGAGGCACATCTCCGGTTTCTTTTGTTATGACTATGTTTATTTACTTGGAAAGTGTTTTTAAAATAAAATTTGTAGACCTAATCATATCACTATTTGAAAGCTCACATAATTTTCTCTTTAAAGGTAAGGAAAGGCTGAGAGAAATCAAATGGTGCTGTGGGAACTCCTTCAGCCAATAGCCTTTAAGATACCTGCCCACTTTGGGAGTGGTCTCATGTACTACAAATGCATATGAAAAGTGCACGCATGCCAGCCTCTTGGCTGCTGGATTCTTCCAGTTCCCATAGCACACAGAGGACTGCGGATCACTACTCTTTCTGTGAGTTTATCCCTAGATAAATAAACCTTTGTTATACTCCATTCCAGGCTATTATGGAACTCTTTTGTACACCAACAAAAGAGGAAAAGATGGTGCCTGAAAGAAGCCCTATGGATGCTTTACACCAGAGTCCTTCCATTTGGCCGTCTAGTCAATCTGGAACATGGCAGTTTCAGACAGCATTCAAGACCTTTGTGTCTCTTCCTTTCCCAACTGCTTCATCTCTGTGGCAAGCTGCGACAAAGAAGTGGAGTTTCAATATTAGGTATGGGTCACTCACCAACATAGCTCTCTGTATGGTGGAGATATTAAGTGGTACCAGGGAAAGGAAGAGAGGACAAAAGCTCTTCTAATATCCAGGAGAATAATTCAAGGTTGTTTTGTTTTTAGTAAAACCCAAACACCAGGGGACTGTTTCTAAATTGAAAGTCAGCATTTCACTAGCAAAATTCTTATCATTCAGTGGGCTCTTAAGAACATAGATTGAAAAAGAAGCATTTAATAATTGAAAAAGCATTTAATTCAAGGTGACAGTTAAAACAGATTGGTGCAGAAGAATTGTCTATATTCTGTCAATCATGTATTTTAATAAAATGCTGATTGGCCAGGCAGGAAGTATAGGCGGATCAACCAGACAGGAAGTAGAGGCGGGGCGAGAACAGGAGAAGGCTAGGGAGGAAGCCCATTCCTCCATTCCTGCCCAGACCACCAAAGAAGCAACATGTGAGCTGACAGCTGAAAAAGGTACCAAGCCATATGGCTAACACAGACAAGAATTATGGGTTACCGTAAGATGTAAGAATTAGTTAATAAGAAGACTGAGCTAATGAGCCAATCAGTTTATAACCTAATGTAGACTCTGTGTGATTTTCTTTGGGACTTGCCGGTTGTGGGGTACTGGGCAGGACAGAAATCTCAACAAGCCGGCCCTCATGTTACAACAGATTATGCTCACTACTATGTTCGCCATACTTTTCTAGTTAATAGCAACAAAATGTTTAGTACACCCTATCCCTGGCAAATTTCCAACCTTTGCACATGACTCCATGTGCTTTGAGTGGTTTACTTAAGAAACAGCCCTTGTGTGTGTGTGTGTGTGTGTGTGTGTGTGTGTGTGTGTTTGTGTTTAAATGCATCAATTTTGGTAGTGACAGTCATACAAGAATACAAGATTGTAATGAGCAAAAAGTCAGAATGTTTCATTGTGGCCTGATAATTTCCTGACTCTATCTTTAGGTCCCACCCTGATATTCTTCTCAGGCATTCAGTGAGTTTTCTGGTGGCACTTCTTGAGTTTAATTTCGTTCAACTTAAGACATTTGTTTCTCCATTTTAATACTGTTGAAAGCTGCTGGGGGCTGCAGACCCAAACCCTGAATTTCCTGTGAACAACTTGTTTTCCTCTGCTCTGAGCAGGCTGCAGCTGTTCTGAGCATAAGACACTGATGGCAGGGGAGTGGGTTCTGATGGGCCTGCAGCTGAAAGATCTCGAGAGCTGGGGCATAGCCAGAGCCCTACATAAGCTGCCCCTGAGCTCAATAAAGTTGGCATTCTTATATTAAGAGTGACCCATGTCTCCACCTCTGTCTGTGTGCCTTTAATTTTCTCAGGCCAGTTCCCGGTTTGTGCAACCAGTCCTGTAGTGAGTGACACAGGAGCTACAGAACTGTTTCGGGTTTTTACATAATAGTACTCAATTATAACGAGAATATCTGTTGGGTCTTTCGAAGTTGGGTAATTCCTAAGTGCTAATGCCATATGGAAGAAACAACACTATCTTTCAGTTCTGGGAAGGATCTCTTTTTAGCCCCTGGTGGAAGCAGTTTGTGTAAAAAATGCTTTCTTCAACAGGAGGTGTGAAAGGACACAGCAGAGTCCCATCTTGGGCAGCTGCCAGCCAAATGTGTGGCTCAGTCATCACAGTTGCTCCCTCTTCTTCCAGAAACAGAACATCTGAAGCCTGAGCTTTAAAGGATGCTTGACCAAGAGGTGCCAGGATTATAGCCACAATTCACCATACAAAGCCTTAAAAGCCTGTTCTAGTTTTTCAGCTTTTTTGTTCTTGTTGTTTTTAATTGAATTAGTAACTTGGCAGTTTGATGTTGCCCAAGATGATGCTTCAAAGGCTTCCAGAAGTGGAATGTAAGTCCATGGCCACTCCACATTCTGAACCTAGCTGGTAAGATAGAAATTAGGCATAGCGGGGTATAATACATGAAACGGTATTTGCAATCTCTTACCCACAAGATAGAAGTTAATCTTTCCAAAGATTTCAGTGCTTTCAGATAGCAACAGGAAAGTCAACTACAGAGTTTTCTCGAAATCTCTAATTCTCTGGCAAAAGTAAACCTTAGAAATCAGAATTCATACCTTATAACTGCCAGAATTTGGAAATGTTAAACACATTTCAGATTAAAAATTTCAAAGCATGCTCTAAGATGTTATGGTTTGAATCTGCAATGTCCCCCACAGGTTCATGTGTTGCACACTTGGCCCCTCATTTCATTGTGAAACTATGGGAAGAGCCATTAGGAGGTGGGTTGTGGTTGGCAGAAGTGGAACATTATGGCTGGGGTCTTGAAAGTTATACCTGTTCACGGTCCTGCCCTAATGGAGAAATCTTTGTCAACCAATTATCTTTAAGAGGTGGGACCAAGTTAGGGTGTGACTTTCTGGGTACCCGGCAGACCAAAGTTTGCTCTCTCTGTGGTTCCTGCTCTACAGTGCTGATCTTGGACTTCTCGTTCCTGTTTCATGAGACTGCCCCTTATAATAAAAATACAACTGATCTTTTGGTTAGCCTGTTTGTTTCTCGATCTGCGATAATTCCACACTGCCCTGCATGCCCTGCTTCCTTTTTGTGCATTATGAGATGACTGCCACACAAGCCTGCTTGTGATCTGTTCCCCCATGCTTGCCTCACTGTGATGGACTGTAACCCTCTGAACTAGTAAGACCAAAACTTCCTCCTTTAGATTCTGCGTTACCAGTGTCAGGTTACAGTGCAGATCCTAGTATGAATGACCGATAGGTGACTGAGGCAGGAAGTAAGCACTCTTAAGATTTTTGTTTATAATTAGTAAGATTAAGGATTTTAAAATATTTCTTTCTACTTAAAAACTTCAAATCTGTTTCTTGTAACTCTTGGATCCACTTTCCTACTTACTCTGCCATTTGGTCCAGTTTACAAGTGAGATGAAGACATTCTGAAAATCCCTTTGTCAGAAGAGAAGTACAAGGAATTTTTAAATGATAGCTTTTATTGATGTTCTCACAAGTGGTAATCATCAACACTGTTCCAAGTGGCTCTTTGGGTTCTATCTCATTAAAATGTTCCTGACTGTTCCAGGATCCCTGTCCGTGCTGACCCCTTGCACTGACTGCACTGCCTGGTCCACAGGCGCCAGAGGTACTTTCCACCCTGGGTATAATCAGTAGATCCACATACATGAGAATTCTCAGTCCCCTTCACAGGAAGGTCAGCAGATGATTTTTAAATGAGTTCCATAATACTAACTTTTTGATGGAAAATATATGTACAGAAGCACATTTGGTTTCATAATATTCCAAGATTTGGCTAGCTGAGACAGCCTTCTCTGGAGAGTTGTTTCTGTAACAATTGGAGAGGATGTGAGAAAGGCCTTTCACAAGTTGAGACATAATTTAGCGGGAACAGATCTCAAAGAAGACAGCTTTGCAAATTATATTTCCTGTGCTCATTTTAAATGACTACATAAAGAATTCTATATAACATTTCAAAAAGATTGTACTCTGTTGACCATTTTTCTGTACAATGTGGTATGCCTTGGTGAGAGCTTCCCAGTCAGCCATTCCAATTACACTTGGATGAAGTCCCTCAGCCAGCTTGCTCCACCGGGTGCATGGAGACACAATGGACATAAAATAAAGTAGGACACAGAGCACAGCAGCAAGGCACAGATGGTGCAGCTGAAATCTTTCTGACTGTACACCAATAAAGGGTCAAACAAGCGAGAAGCACCATATAAAGAGGTGCAACGAATCTTTCCACAATGCTTTTACTAGTTCAGATCACTGATGCTGGTAGCTGCAAACAAACAAAAACAGAGCTTAACCACTCTCAAAATGCTATTAAGTACTTTTTAAAATACTATATTTTCTGATGGAAAAACAGCATTCCAGTTTTGATGTTTATAAAAAGAAGTGACAAGTTTATAGAATAAACAAAGTTTTATTTTATAACAGTATTACATAAAGCAAAATACCATTTAATACAACTTGAAGCTGCTATAAATCTAACCTGGCATCATTAACTATACAGTCAAAAGCAAATAAAAAACATGTTCAATACAGTTAATAAGTCCCTATCAGGTCTCTGGTGTCAGCTTTAAATGGAATAGCTTTCATATAACCAACAGAACCCCCACCACTGTCCCCAACCCTCTTATCCCCAGCATCTTCAAACCTGTGAGTTATCAAACTATCTTAAAGAGATATACCTGCTCAGTAACAAAAGGTCAGTTTTACATGTAGACAAAGTTTAATACAAAGCAAGTGTTCTACTCAAGTGTTCAAATAATGGGAAGGACTGAAACTGGAAAGGTTAAGAAAGAAAGCACTAAGGCTTTAATTTAAGCTGCCTGATTTTCTTTTAGTAGGAAAAGAGAAGGGCACGTTCTGTGGTTCTCCTCCTGTTCTGGAATGCTGTGGCAAAGCGTATGTCTGAGAAGTACTGCACTGTGGGTGACGGTCTCTGAACACAGTGCTTGGTCAGTGAGCTTCGTAATT